AAGTGCGAGAGTAGGCTTGTCCTACGATCCACTAAGATTCAGCCTGCGTTGTACGATGTGTTTTCTCCTCTTGCTATTCCTGCTTGCTGGGGAATAAAAAGCGTCCCAGGCCTCGACCGCCTTGAGCATGGGTACTAAAGAGCCTCGTGTTCACGCAGTATGAATGGACGGGCAAAAAGGCGCCGTTTGACTTTAAATATGTTTGCTGGGCAAAATGAATGGTGCAAAAGCTCTTCGGCGTATTATGATCACTGATAACGAGAGGGTTGTCACATCTGCGGCCAGACAGAATGCGCCTCCCCGCCTTATCACTATCCTTAAGGAAGACTCATCACAAAACCTCCAAACATTCTACCAATGAGCAGAAGAATTCGCCAACTTCCTCGGCATCCAGCACCAACAAGAGAGGGTGTATCAAAGACCATTGAAGGATGGTGTAGTGTCGTGCAAGGGACGTTGACTACACGAAAGAAGCAACTCACGCAACGGCCGTACACACCCACATGCTGTTCTCCATGGGCATAGGCGCACCCAGCAGCAGGTACTCCAACACTGGACAACACCTACACAGCAGCGGAGACTCAGCAGCAACAGCAGATGCCAACAGCATAGACAGGCATTGCAGACAAACAACCGGCCGGAAACAGCGCGACATTAGCGGAATGAACCGACCACGCGCTTCAAAGCAATCCCCGTTGCTCAGCTTACAGCAGATGCTCATGCAAGACTTCAGATGAAACTCGAAGTACGTGCAACAGAGACAACGGCAAAAGTCGAGAAAGGCACGTGGGAGGAAGCGGAAGCCACAATAGACAGCTTCGCAGCACACATATATGACTCCATCTGGTTTGCTTATAAGACGCCACCTGAAGCAATTCAACGAGGGCGAAGGAAGAAAAGACCATCAAACAGCAGACAGACACCAGGAAAACCGAAAGGACCCCGCCTCCCCACGACTGACTCAAGCGCAAGACAATGTCAAGAAGGCGTTGCTTGCACTCCGCGAAAAGATGAGAAGGCACAGCAGGGACAGCAGGGTGAAGGCTAGCCCAACAACAAAGTGAAGAAGCGGGCACTCGAACGACACCTACGAAATGCACGTCGCCGCCTCATCACTATCCTTAAGGAAGACTCTGCACAAAACCTCCAAGCACTCTGCACAAGAGACCGAAGGAAGTATGTGGACTAACTGCTTGTTGGCGGAGATTAACTTAGAAGCCAAGACTGCCCAATCCAACAGCTAGCTGGAGGCACACCCTAGAGGTTAGCACCTGGATCAATCTACTGACCCCACTTCTCAGGCTGCTCGCGAGTTCCTACAACCTTTGACTACCGCCCCAGAATGGGCATATACGGTTTATTCGCACTTAAGCGAAGATGACCTGTATGCTCAACTTCTGAAGAGCAACCTTAGGCCTGCAACAGGGCAGGACGGGATAGCTTTCTTTGTGTACAGGCAGTTCCAAGATGTGCTTTTTCCATATATGACTACGATTTACAATGCGTGCTCCCAATATCGAAGAGTGCCAGCGTGGTGTACGGAGAACGTGACCGTGTTGATTCCGAAGGGAGGAGACCCTAATGATGCGAAGAGTTGGCAGTGCATCAATCTGCAGAACTGTGCATACACAAACTCTAAGCAGTACAGTACGCAAGCAAGATTTCCAACTGGGCAATCAAGATGGCAGTCCCCGCCACGTCGAAGAAGGGTTTCATGCCAGCAAATGGATGCCATGAGCATTTCCTTCTTCCCCAAACTATTCTCAATTCTACTCGCCGGCCGTTCTCGCGCCAAGTGGGGCCCAATACGTTGGAGTTTTCTTTATATTCTGGGTCTTCACAGTGAACGGCTGTAACGGATGAACTGCTGCTTCCCATGGAGAAGACCAGCATTGCATGGCGAAGCAGCAGCTCCTGTGGCTGTGGCACCTGCTCCCTTCACTTGTTTGCAAGGAATGGCAGTGTCATAAACCAGCATGCGCACACTGGTTAGCCGTTGCTGTTGCTGCGTATTGTTGTTCTTCTTGATGATGTGGAACGTGAGAACATCAAGTAACCGCTTTCCGTGTTTCCTCGTCAGAGTGGGCAAGATGAAGTGACCAAGACAAGACCCTCTCATCTGTAGCAGGTTGCAACTTGGTAGTATTAAAAAAGTCTGGTACGTGAAGACCTGTGAAAATTCTGATGAGCTGGGGACGGGTAGTTCCACAGCTTGTTGCTAGGTGTAGGGGGTGGAGGAGGGAGAAGCAGTAGCAGCAGCAGCACTGCTGCTGCTGCTACTGCGCCACCTAGCGAGACTAGCAGCCGCAGACTCTGCTACGACGCCCCCTTTGTTCTCGGTTCGCCTTCTATAATCAGCACACCACTCGCAACTCGTCTACACCGGCAGCCAGCAATTAGAGGAGAGACCAGACAAAACAGAAGCAGAGAGTGAGTGCAACAACGGGAATAAAGTCAACGGCGGTTCATCTAAGCAACACAGCAGCAGCAGCAACACCAGCAGCAAGCCCATCAGCAGCAGCAGCACAACAGCAGAAGCACCAGCAGCAGGAGGCACGAAGCTGTGAGGCACGGCGCATGGTGCCCTTAGAGACATACAAACCGGAGACACAATCGCTGGGAAAATGAAGAAGAATCGATACCAACTACAGTCGCAACTGCAGTCGACCCCCACATTCATCACCGTTACGCTGAAGTAAGTGAAGAGATACTTTCGTTGCCACGCACGTTTATCAACGGCACCATTGGCAGTAGTAGGGCCACAGTATATGCATATATATATATATATATATATAAACATATGCATCTATGCAGCTAGTATCCATATACATAGATTGCCTCCTCTCCTGCTGCTGCTGCTGCTGCTGTCTTCAAGGAATGCACAGGCAGTTGCTATCTCACAGGCATGGGGTGCCTCTGTGCCCCTGCTGCAGTTTTTAGGGGAACTTCGGAGGGGTCTAGACACTCTACAGCAAAAGAGAGAGCAACGGTTGATTTCGCCTTAAGTGAAAGATAAGTTACAAAGACAAAACACCAACAAAATGCAGCAAACAAAGGAGGCACGGGACAAGAAGACACGGACAAGAACAAAGAAAGGAGACAGCGTGCTGCAGCAGCACCTGTCTCCTGTCTCTTCTCTGCTCCGTCGCAATGTGCGCTCCCCGCTGCTGCTGCACCTAGCAGCAGCTGCTGCTGCAGCCCTTGCAAGAAATCAACACACTGCAGCAACTGTTGCTGCAGCTCGTTTCTGTGCACATTACAGCTTCTCTGCCTCATCAGGGAGCGCAACCTCATTGCAGCCGTCACTACCACTTTTACAAACCCCTGGTGCAGCTGCTGCTGCTTCTGCAGTGGCCTGCTGCTGCTCCTTTGAGGCAGCGACTGCTTCTGCTTCGCGGGGTGCAGCAGCTGCTGCTGCTGCAGCGGCGCCTCCAGCTGCAGCCTCTGTTGCGTGCGCTTCTGATGACTGGGGATTCAACGCCTCCCCCAGAGCCCCCCATGGTGCACCAGCAGTCAAGTGGGGATCTTGGCTTTGTGCCACCGCTTGCTGCTGCTGCTGCTGCTGAAGGGACTCGATAGCAGCTGTCCCCTCGGCCCCTGGAAACTCCGCCGCCTGCCGAGGAGCTGCCGCACCGGCAGCAGCAGCAGATGCTTCTCGTTGCTGCTGGGATGGCTCGACTGCTGCTGCTGTTGCTATTGCTGCTGCTGTGGCTGCTGTGTCCTCCGCAACACCCCCTGCGGCAGCTGGTGCAGCAGCAGCTGGTGTAGCAGCAGCTGGAGCGGTAGCAGCTGGTGCAGCAGCAGCAGCCATTATGGCAGCAGCCGGGAGTGCTGCTGCCTTTGACGCAGCCCCGGTTGCAAGTGCCTCGGAGGCGGCGGCAGCAGCAGCAGCAGCAGACGGCGGCAGGGCTAAGGACAAAGCGGCCGCAGCTGCTGCAGCCGACGCAGCAGTTGCAAGAAGAGGCGATCCCTGAGGAGGTGGGAGGAGAGTCGATCCTGGGGAGCACAGCAGGCCCCCCACTGCTGCTGCCGCTGCTGCTGCTGCTGGCGCTGCTGATGCTGAAGTTGGTCCTGCTGCCGCAGGTGCTGCTGCTCCTGGAAGCAGCTGCGACACGGCTGGGGCTGCTGCAGGACGGAGGATACTCCCAGCAGGCGAGTGTGCAGCAGAAAGCGTGCCAAGCTGCTGCTGCAGCGCTGCAGCGGCAGCTGCTGCTACAGGGTGTCCTGCTGTTGCAGCCCGCTGCAGCTGCTGCAGCGCTGCGTTGCTGCTGCTGCTGCTGCTCTCGTTGCTAAGAGCTGCCAGTCGTGCGGCCATCTGCACCCCGTCCTGCTGCTGTTGGAGTTGCTGCAGCTGTTGCTGGATTTGCTGCTGTCTCTGCTGTAGTACCTGCTGCTGCATTATTTGCTGCTGCAGGAGCCGCTGCTGCAGCAGCTGTTGAGGAAACTGCGTAGTTCCTCCCAGACGGCCTTGCAGCTGCTGCTGCTGCTGAAGTTTGTTCTGCAGCTGCTGCAGCTGTTGCAGCTGCTGCAGCTGTTGGATGTGCTGCGCTTGCTGTTGCTGCGGCGTTTGTTGTTCCTGAGGCTGTTGTTGGGTTTGCTGCGACTGCATCTGCTGTTGCTGTTGCTGGAGCTGTTGCTGCTGCTGCAGCTGCTGCAGCTGCAGCTGTTGGTGCTGCTGCACTTTGACTTGCAAATGGTGCAGCTGGAACTGCTGCAGCAGTTGCTGCTGCCTAGCCTGCAGCAGCTGCTGCACTGATGTGGCGCTGATCCCTGCTGGGAGTGTTCCAGGCTGTTGCTGCTGCTGCTGTTGCTGCTGCTGCATCTGCTGCAGCAGCTGCAGTTGCTGCTGCGCGTACTGCTGCTGAGGCGGCTGACCCAAGAGCTGTTGGATTCCCTGCTGCTGCTGTTGCTGCTGCTGCGTTTGTTGCTGTTGCTGCTGTTGCTGTTGCTGCCCTTGAACTGTCGCTGCCTGGAGAGAAGCAGCGCGCTGCTGCAGCAGCATGAGCTGTTGCTGCTGCGATGCCTGTTGCTGCAATTGTTGGTGCCGCTGCTGCAAGATGAGCTGCTGCTGCTGCAGCTGCTGACTAACCCCCTGAGTCTTGGATTGCTGCTGTTGGTTTTGGAGGTGCTGTTGGATCAGCTGCTGCTGCAGCTGGTGCTGCAGCAGCTGCTGCTGCAATGGGGGATATCCGGGTGGCCTTGAAGGCGAGGGGGCGTGTTGCTGCTGGGATGTGGAGCTGTTGTTGTTGCTGCTGCTGCTGCCGCTGTTGCTGCTGTTGTTGGTGCCGCTGCCACCGCCAGGGGACTGAGCCGCTGCTGTTGCTGCTGCTGCCGCAAGTATCCCTACTGCTGATGCTTGCTGCAGCTGCTGCTCCGGTCGGCTGCCTTCCGAGGTCGACGACGAGCTGCTGGTGCTGCTGCTACTACCACCAGCAGCTGCATGTACACCCCCCGTTGCTGCTGCAACGCCAGTACGGCCCCAGAGAGGAAGCCCAAGAAGCAGCTGCTTTGTCTGCATCAATGGGCTACGAGCAGCAGCAGCAGCAGCAGCTGCTGCTGCTGCTGTAGCTGCTGCAGTGCTTGCCGCTCCAGACGGTGTCACGGAGTTGCTGCTGCTGCTGCTGCTGCTGCCGCCACTGCTACTGCCACCTGATCCCCCGCTACTCCACGGTGCTGTATGCCCCCCAGAGAGCAGTAGAGACCCTCCTCCTGCAGCAGCAGCAGGTGCTGCAGCGGCAGAAGCAGCAGCGATTGAGATAGGCCCTTGAAGCTGCGGGTTGTCTGCTGCCTGTGTTGCTGCTGCTGTTCCGCCGCCTCTATGACTGGGCGTCAGCCCCAGTTGCTGCAGCGCTGCCTTCGTTGCTTGCTGCTGCTGCTGAGTTGCCGCTGCGGCTACCGCTGCAGCGGCAGCTGCTGCTGCTGCAGTAGAGCCTGCGTTTTGCTTGAGTGCGGCAGCACTTGCGTTGAAGGCTGCTAAGTGCGAGGCCGTGAGACCTGCTGGCAGCAAGATCTGCTGCTGCTGCTGCTGTCTCGGTTGATCGCCGGGCGTCGTTGCTGCTGCTGCTGCACCTGCTGCAGCAGAGCCCTGCAGCAGCGGAGACAACCCCAAAGAAGCACTTGCTGCAACAGCAGCAGCAGGAAGCAGACCTCTCCTAGGTACACGAGCAGCAAAGCGGGAGGCAGAACGAGTCAGACGCGTGGTGGGGCGCAGGGCCGAGTTGCTGGTGCTGCTGCTGTTGACTGCTGCATCAGAAGTTTCGGACGCAGCAGCGCCTGTTGCTGCTGCTGCTGCTGCTGCTGCTGCTGCATCAGCCTGAACAAACCCGCCAGCTGCTGCTGGTGCTGAAGCAGCCCCAATCAAGCTATTCCTAGAGCGCTGCCGCAGTCCCCTCCTGCTGTTGCTTCGAGTTGTTAGGTGCGTTCGCCCCACCAGCTGCTCCTGCTGCTGCTGCAGCAGCAGCTGCTGCTGCTGTTGCTGTTGCTGCTGCTGCAATGCGAGGCTCGCCGCATCGCCTCCCGATGCTTCCCCATTCCAAGACAGCAAGTACTGCTCGGTGTCTTCGATAGGTGCAGCTTGGTGCTGCTGCTGCTGTTGCTGCTGCTGCTGTTGTTGCTGCTGCTGCTGGTCCTCAGAAACAAGGGGAGGCAGAACAGGCGACGACGATTCTGCCTTTCGATCCAAAGTTGTTATTGCTGCTGGCGTTGGTGTTGCTGCTGCTGCTGCTCCGGAAGCAGCCGCGCGCGTGCTGCTGCTCTGGGATTGCGGTGAGGAGCTCGGAGCTAGTGGAGCTGTAGCAGCAGCACCTGCTGCTGCTGCTGCTGCTGCTTCGTCCGTCTCTCCTGGTTTGCGGCGTTTGTTCTCTCTCTGCCGTCGCTGGGAGGCCTCCTGTTGCTGCTGTTGCTGCTTCTCTCTTTCTTCCCTCTGCTGCTTGCGCTTCTCCAGCATTTCATGATGCAGGTGCTCCAGCTGCTGCTGCTGCTGCTGCATGAAGGCTTGCATCTCCTGCTGCTCCTCCTCCCTGTCAGCCTGGCGGAGCTCTTCTGCAGCAGCAGCAAGAAGCCCGTATCGTTGCTGCTGCACCTCTCCAAGAAGCGAGAGCAGCAGCTGCCGCTGCTGCAGCTTTGCTGCTAGATGTCTCCGCAGCCACCAACTCCTTACTAGTCGTTCTGTCTCCGAGTGCAGCACGAACCCCCCCCCGCCTGCTGATCCTGCCGCTGCTGCTGCTGCGGAAGCTGCAGCAGCAGCACTTGCTGCTGCTGCTGTGCTGCACGGGGCAGCATGTTCACTGTCATCCGCGGCGCTGAGACCGTCTGCTGCCTCCCTCTTGTCCTCTGCTGCTGATGCTGCTGCTGCTTCTCCTGGAGATGATGCTTCTGCTGCAGCTTCTCCTGCAGTAGCGGCTTGTTCACTTCTTCCTGCTGCAGCTGCTGCTGCTACTTTTGGTGCGGTTTGTGTTGCTGTTGCTGGTACGTGAAAGTCTGCACCGTCATCGGTTGCAGTGGCCTCGCGGGTCGCTGGATCATGCTGCTGCTGCTCTTGCTGCTGCTGTTCGTTTTGCTGTGTCTCTTGCTGCTGCTGCTGTGCGTATGCAGCCTTTGGGGAAATGCTTGTGCGGTGCTGTGGCGTGCCAGCAGCGGTGTTGCTGTTGCTGCTGCTGTTGCTGCTGCTGTTGCTGCTGCTGCTGCTTTGAGAAGCATTAAAGGCTTGTGTTGTCTGAATGCGCAGCTCACGCGCATGCAGCAGCTGCTGCCTCCACTGCTGCTGCTGCTGCAGCACAAGCTGTCGGATGCGGGGGGCTATACGAGGGAAAGAAGGGAAGCGGTCTTGCGGCACGAACGGCCAGCGCCGACATGCGCGTTTCTTTGAGGTCGCCATGAGCTGCTGCTGCTGCAGCAGCTCGTGTTGCTGCTGCTGCAGCAGCTCGTGCTGCTGCTGCTGCTGCTGCTACAGCTACTGCTGTTGCTGCTGCTGCCGCTCGACGAAGGCGACTAAAGACTGCTGCAGCCCCATGGGAGAAGCGGCAACCCCGTCAGCCAATCCAACAGATATGCGCTCAAGTTGGGTTAACTGGGCCCTGAGACTGAGGAAAAGCAGCAGCAGCAGCAGCAGCAGCAGCAGCAGCAGCAGCCTCCCACTGCCCTGCAAGCCGCGAAGATGGCTCGCGCTGCTGCTGTTTGGGCTCTGAAGATTCTGTAGCAGTGTGGCTGCTGAGTTGGTAATTTTCTGCTCCGGTTGTTGCAGCAACAGTGGCAGCAACAGCAGCCGCAGCAGCAGCAGCAGCTGCCGCTGCTCTCAGCCCCTGTTGCGAAGCAGTTGCAGCCTTCAAGATGTTTCCTCTCCCCTTGACCCTGCCTTAGCCAACAGTTGTTACTGCGAGCTCCCAGGAGGAGGACTTTAGCGGCAGCAGCTACTGCTGCTGCTGCGTTGGCGAGCAGACGGGGGCTGCATGCAGGAGCAGCAGCAGCAGCGGCAGCAGCAGCAGCCGCCGCTGCCTGCTCTGCATGCAGCAGCAAAAGCGGCATTGTAGTTATTCCCCTTCAATTCCCTGACTAATAATAGAAATGAAATAGAGATAAATATAATTTCTAAGAAATTCACCAACAAGCCACCGCATGCAACAGGTGCCGCTAGCTACTGCTGGCTGGCTAGTGCTTCAGAGAGCAGTAAAGGAGTATTGTTTGTGTTAATGCAGAAAATATACAAAATAATTTAATGTAAACAAGTGTAGAGAAACCCATGCATGCAGTGAGGGGAAAAAGCTTAGAAATGCCGGTACAGCATGGGGCCCTTGCATGCAGAGGCTGTGTTTCTACCCTCTTAGCTAAACAGCAGCAGAAGTGTTTAAGCAAAGGAAGCAGCTTGGTGAGCAGCAGCAATAAGACACATTAAAGCTGCTACCTTCCCCTTTAGAAAGTCTCCTCCCTGCCTCCACCTCCAGCACCTACTACCACCACCAGAGTACGAGCTGCGCTAAGTGGAGACACTTTAAATAATTAACTTATCAGAGACGGAGACAGATACTCCGCCCATTAACGGAGAGATTGAGCACAGCGGCACAAGGGCCTGGGGCTGGTGGTGGGGAGAAGAGGGGGCCTTCTGTGAGTTTACTCTATTCCTTGCTGCAGCTTCTGCTGCAAGACAAGCCCTCTTGCAAGCACTCCCAAGCTTCGTTTATTGCATGCACTATCACTGTAGACAATTGTTAAGAATTAATAGGTGGGCCCTTAGTGCCAATCTGCATGCTATTAGAAGTGCATGCAACAGCAACTTCCAGAGGCCCGGGAAGGCTACTATTGCCTCTACGCGCATCTGTTAATACGCAACTCTACTGCTGCTGGAGGCTTTAGCGGAGTATCTCCGGTGTATAGACACCTCTTTTACATGGAGAGGTGTCTATACACCGGCTTACCCGCATCTTAAAGAAGGTAAAGGCTCATACATATCCTGCTTAAACACAGGGCGAGGGCTGCCCTTTGTATGTTCTTATTCTCTTTTTTTGTTTACCTCTGCTGCTACCACTGATGAGATCAATGCTACAACCCAAACTCTTTTTCTTTAACTCTTGAGTATTTCTGTTTCTTTCTTTGAATCGGGTGCGGAGGAAGAGCTGACCCCCCCAACCCCTTCCCCCCCTAATACTCTTAGCAGCGCTTTAGTAGCGGCACTACTGGAGGGGTAGCGGAGACACCCGCTCCTCTTAGTCTCTTTCTTATTTTATTGTCTGCTAAGCAAACGGCTGGTAGCTGCAGTTAACTGATTGAATAACTCGATTCTTCTACGGTAATAACCCTTGTTGGGTTCTTACAAAAGGCTGAGGCTTCTACCTCCTCTCCCTCTTCCATACAGAAGAAGGCATATATCTTCATCTGCAACGCATGAGGGGTGTTCACGAGGAGCCCTAAGGACAGCTGCTGAAGTATAGCGATATAGACGTCTCCGGTGCTGCCCCACGATCCCACCGATCCCAGTAGACCCTTCTTTTTTTGTCTTATTTCCACTGCCACTAGCAGCTCCAGCGTTTCTCCCTTCATTAGCGGGGCTTCATTAAGAAAGCCTTCTCTAAAAGAGAAGAGGCTTTATCTGCAAAATAATGAAGAAGACATCACAGGTGTAGGTTAAACTGAGGGAGTTGAGGGCCTGCGAAGCCCCTCACCTTCATAAAGGGGCTGCTGCTTCTCAGGTTGTCTCTTAGTATCTACAGAGCGAAGACAGCATAGAGCACCTCTCTGCTTGCAACAGATATCCCTCCTTCTTATATACTTCTATTAAGATAGAGTCTCATTCTTCTGGTGTATAGGGCACCCTGCCCTTCTGGATAAGTAAATCGAAGAACGTGCACACCGCTGGATAACTAAAGCTATATCAAATATATATATATTTGATATAGCTACATTTAATATAGCTAAGGCCTATGAAAGTACTTCCTTTACTCGCATTGTCTTGCATGCTGATATCCACTAACTTTTTAATAAAAACCCGTTTCGAAGTTCTGCCCTTTTGCATGCGTTATTTCAGAGAAGAGACTTTTTCTTTTTTTTATTTTTGCTTTTCTGAATATCAACTACACTTTGAAGAAGTAAGGAGGGGCCCCCTCTGCAAATCTCGTTTATCTTTATATACACCGTATAATCTAAGAGGAAGAGGGGGGAGGCTAGCGGCTTTCTAACACTATATGAGTTTCTAGTTTTTCAAGACTCTGACTATTATACACTTATCTTTGTATGGATACGAGGCTGTTTGTTATAATTATTAGGAATAGCTGCATGCAATGATGTCGATAGAAACCCAAGGGGTGACGGTATCGATGCAAGCCTCAAGGATTTATTAATAGCCCTGCCACATCCTTACTATTCCTGAATTGTATATTACTCCATTATCATAGAATAATCATATGCATGCATAGTATATTAGATTTCAGCGTGAGCGCCGATTAAGCGGGGGGGCTGTCTGTCTCTTAAGGACAGAGGGGGGCTGTCTGTCTCTTAAGGCAGCATAAACAAAGGAGTCTTTCTTCATCTTTTTCAATTCCTTTATGATTGTTCTCTTATAATTATTGTATGTCCTTGGCGTTGAAGTGAGACACATAAACCTCAAATGTGAATATAAAACCCCGAGAGAATTGCTCTATTCATAGATGGATATTTGTATGGTAGCAACTAAAGGCGTCTTATCGGTTTCATACACCTTTTAATCGCTTTCTTTTCGCACAAGTATATCTTTTTGAGTTATTTAAGCAGCTGTACAGAACAAAGGTTTAGAGATGTGGGGTTCTTAAGACCCCCTCTTCTTCCCTTACCCTGAGATATCTATGTGGGGGCTATTGGAGATGCTGGAGGAGGCAGGTACGCGTACACCTCAAAAGAAGGGTAAAGTCTGGAAGCTATATCTTGTAGGAAAATAAGTTCTTCAGTTTCTTTTAGATTAGAGATTTACCTGTCTTGAAGTTTGTTGTTGGCGTATATATATTGCGTACTAAAGGCCTTACAATAAGCAGAGCGAAGGCTTCAGAGATGTATTGTATTTGAAAATATATCAAGTAATTTTATCTTCTTTGTTCTCATTTGTATAAGAAAAACCTCAGAAGCAGCACAGGATCTGCGCATGCATCGGGGGGCCCCTACTATGGGGGCCCCCGTTGCAGCAGGTTGGCAGCAGAGAGGGTACAGAGAGGGTTTATAGGTGGTTTGAGCTGCAGCTGCAGCATTGGAAAATAAATTCTTGTATAATTTCTAAATATAAACCTCTTAGAAAGAAAAACTGCTGCAGCAGCACAGGGGCCCCTTGCCGGTGCCGGTTGTTGCTGCTGCTGCTTGATTTAATGAGCACTACGGAGCAGCAACAGGGGGCCCCTCAGGGGGCCCCTGTGGGTCCTGAAGGACTTGCAGCGGATCAGGGGCCCCTTAGAAATGATGGGGATAAGCAGAACACTGGTGAGGGCAACCCCAAGGGGGAGGGGCCCCACGAGGGTGGGGGCCCCCAAGGGGATGGGGGCCCCCACGGGGACGGGGGCCCCCAAGAGAGCGGGGGCCCCCAAGAGGGTGGGGGTACACAGGAAGGAGACGAGGAGGAGTGGTATGTGGTGCTGCCGCCTGATGCCGTTGCCGTCTTACAAGAGGAGCAGAAGCGCCAGCTGCAGCTGCAGCAGCAGCAGCAGCAGCAGCAGCAGCAAGAGGCACAAGAACAGCAAAACCAGGGACAGCAGCAAGAACAGCAAAGCCAGGAGGAGCAGCAGCAACAGCAGGAGAAGGGTGTTAACAGCACTGGCAGCCCAGAGGAGAAGCGCGCGTCCTGTGAGGACAGCAGCAACAGCAGCAGCAGCAACAGCGACAGCAGCAACAACAACAACAGCCCCAGCAGCGGCGGCGGCGGAGATAATACCAGCAACGCCAGCAACAGTAGCAGTAGCAGCAGCAGCAGCAGCAGCAGCGGCGATAATTCCAGCAACGCCACCACCAACAGCAGCAGCAGCAGCAGCAGCAGCAGCAGCAGCGGGGCAGCAGAAGGCGGGGATAGTACTGGCGCTGAGGGAAGCATAGTGGGGCCTTTGAGTTTATCTGCTTTGGGGGTTTATTTTGCTTGGAATTTAATTGATGGTTTGACTTATGTGCTGCGGCGAGGAGAAGACCAGTGGTCCACCATCTGCGAGCACCCGGTTGTTGCTGCTGCGCTGCGTAGCTGGCAGCAGCAGCAGCAGCAGCAGCAGGAAGAGGCGGAGGCGCTGGCAGCAAAAGCAGAGATGGCAGCAGAAGCGCATGCAGCAGCGGCCTTTGCTGAGGCAGCAGCAGCAGCAGTCCCCGGCAAAAAGCGGCGAGCAGCAACAGAGAAGGCAGCAGCGCTTGCTGTTGCAGGTGCAGCAGCAGCAGCAGCAGCAACAAGGGCCCCCTTTGCTCTGGTTGACTCAGCCCTCAAATACTGCGGCCCCGATGGCCAGTGGATGGTCTTTGATACTGTCGACAAAATATGGAGACCCAAGCACGTAAGAAGCCCCAACATACACACAGACGCATGCATGCATGCAGCAGCTGAGGCAGCAGTTTTAGGAGCAGCTGCAGCAGCACGAGCTGCAGCAGCAGCTTCCCTAGGTTGATCTGGTTTGTTTCAGTATGCGTAGAAGAGCAGTCTTAGTATCGGGGTGTCTTCTTGGGGATGCATGCGTGCATGCATGCACGAACGCCTGCATGCATGCAGGACTACGACTTTATGGTAGCAACGGCATCGGAGAGCAGCAGCAGGGGCCCCTCAGGAGAAGAGGCGTTGATGTTAGCTGCTGTTGCTGCAGCAGTAAGGAGCCCTGGCGGCGGCTCTTCTGGGTCGAAGGGGCCCCGTACCGTGGGGGCCCCCACCGAGAAGGGTACGGGGGGCCCCCCTGCGAGCGTTGGGGGCCCCTCGGGGGCCCCCCGTGAAGGAGAGGGGGCTGAAGGGCAGGATTTAGGTGTACATACACCCGAGAAGGGGGAAGAGGGAGCGCTTGAAGAGCGACAATTAAAGGCAGCGAAGAGGAAGGCATACAGAGAGAGAAGAAAGCAAAAGCGTTTAAAGGGTTTATTTGTAGCCCCAAAGACAAACCCTAACGTTTATGTCTGCGGCCTCCCCCAACACTTCACTCAAAAAGATGTCGCTGAACTCTTCAAAAAAGCCGGGGTATTCAAACTCGACCCCGAAACATGTCAGCCCCACTTCACCCTGCCCTGCATGCACTCTTCTATGCATGCATGCATGCATGCATGCATGCATCTGTGCGTGCATGTATGCATGCAAGGTTCTAAGCGTGCATGCATACATGCATGCAAGGTTCTAAGCGTGCATGCATGCATGCATGCATGCGAAGGGTTTGGGGATGGGGTTTGCGGATGCAGTGCAGCCTAAGATCCGTTTATACTGCGACAGCGAGGGGAAGTTTAAAGGAGACTGTCTCCTCAGCTTCGTGCACGAAGCCAGCGTGGAGACAGCCATCCGTTACTTCGACAACTACGCCGTCACCGACACACATACCATTCGGGCAAGTACAGGGTTTAGGGTTTAGGGTTTAGGGTTTAGGGTTTAGGGTTTGGGGTTTGGGGTTTAGGGCTTTGGGGTTAGGGTTTGGGGTTGATGGTTTAGGGTTTGGGGCTTTATGGCTTACTGGCTGGGGTTTAGGAATGAGGGTGCAGCGTTAAGGGTTTAGGGTTAAGGGTTTAGAATTAAGGGTTTAGGGTTTATTGCTGTTTGTCTGTGTCTTCGTTGTTAATGTTGTTGCTTTTGCATTTGGGGCTGCATGCATGCAGGTGTCTCGTGCTGAGTTTTCGAAGAAGCAAACGGAGACAGCTGAGGTGTCTCCTCAAGGGTCTTCTGAAGGGTCTTCCCAGGTGTCTCCTCAGCCCACAAATGCCTCAGCGGTGCAGCAGGCGGCATTAAGAAGAAGACGTAAAAAGATATTAGCTGCAAGGCAGGAACAAGACAGGTAATTCAAGCAAGAGGCATGCATACAGCATGCATGCATGCAGTGTGCATGCATGCAGTGTGCATGCACCGGAAAGAGACAAAAAGAGACAAAAGGAGAGACAAAAGGAGACAGGAGGAGGCAGAAACACCGAAAAAGAGACAAAAGGGGACCGAGGGAGACAGTTGCTATTTTCGAGGACATACTGCAGCAGCGGCTGCTTGCAGCCAGCACCTTGCATGCATGCCTGATGCATGCATGCATGCATGCAGCACGTGCGCTTGGGGTGTCTCCGCAGGCTGCTGAGTTGGGATAGCGAAGCAGCAGCAGGAAGGGGACGGCATAATATTGTGGTATTGAGGCCTATGTACTCGCTGCAAGAGGCAGAGGTGAGAAGGAGACAGCAGCAAGGAAAGAAGAGACAGCACAGAGACAGCAATGGTTATAAGGAGACAGGAGACAGAGACAGCAGTTCTTATTAGGAGACAGGTGGCAGGAGACAGACAGAGCCTTATAGGGAGACGCAGTCCTTCTATAAGGAGACAGCACTCTTTAGCATACACCGGAAGTAATGTCTATTTGTCTCTATTTGTCTCCTTTTGCGCTTTAAGGAGCATGAAGAAGGAGACACCTTTTATGAAGAACTCCGCACTGAAGTCCTCGAAGAAGTCGCGAAAATTTCTCCCCCAGACAAAGTCACAGTCATCCCTGTACCATAAACCCTAAACCCTAAACCCTAAACCCTAAACGCAGAGGCTAAACCCTGAGCACAAACCCTAATCAATAAACACTCAGCATAAACCCTAAAGACATGCCCAAAACCCTTAGCACAAGCCCTAATCCATAAACCCCCCGCACAAACCCTAGATGCTAAGCCCTAAGCACAAACCGTAAACCCTAAACACAAGCCCTAAGCCCTATACCCTGGCTGCAAACCCTAAACCACAGACACAAACCCTAGACACAAACCCTAATCGCAAACCCTAAACCCCATGCCAAGGGGCAAACCGATACTCACTCTGTACGCTGGGCCTAAACCCTAAACCCTCAAACGTGCCAAACCCTGAGACTCTCTTAAGCTGCGAGGCAAGGGTTTATGCGTAGGGTTTAGGGTTTAGGGTTTAGGGTTTGCGAAAAAGGTCCCCTAAGGCGTTTCAGGCTGCTGCCTGGGAGTCGTGTATGCTGTGCCTTCGATGCCCCGCTGCTGCTGCTGTTGCCGCTGCTGCTACTACTGCTGCTGCTGCTGCTGCTGTTAATGTTTTCTGCTTCTGCTGCTGCATGCACTCTGTGTTGCAGCGACATCCCCAAGGCGTCGTGTGCTTGAAGTTTAAACAGCCTGAAGAGGCGGAGACAGTGATAGAGGTCTGAGTCTCCTTCTGTCTCTCGGTTGCTGTTGTTGCTGCTGGTGCTGTTGCTGCAGCAGCTTCTGGGATTGCTTGTGTTGCTGCTGCAGCTGTTGCTGTAGTTGCTGCTGCAGTAGTTGCTGCTGCTTCAATTGCTGCCGAATTGTGGCTGTCTCTGTTCTCTTTGGTTTGTTAATATTTGTTTTGTTTTTGTAATTGTTTGTTTTTTTGGGTATGCTGTCTCTAAGAACATGCTGTCTTTGTGTGTCTCCTTGCATGCAGCTGCTGAGCCTCTTTTATATTTGTTTGCTTGCTATTTCTTTATATTTGTTTGTATCTCTGTTTATCTGTTTCCTCTGCTGTCTCCTGTTATTATTTTAATATTTATTTGCTTGCTATTTCTTTTTATTTGTTTGTATCTGTTTATCTGTCTCCTTTGGTGTCTCCTCTGCTGTCTCCTTTTGCTGTCTCCAGAAGATGAGGGGTCGGATGTTCGATGGCCGCGTCGTTGAGGCCTTCTTCTTTGATGGCACTACAGACTTTAGGGCCAGTTGTTTACCCTCTAAGCGCAAACAGGTCCTTTCCTTCATTAGTGTTTAGGGTTTAGGGTTTAGGGTTTAGGGTTTAGGGGGGTTGGGTGGGTGATTTGGTAGGAGTAGGGACTGGCCCAGAACCCTGGGGCTTCCTTGCTAAACAAACGACCGACGAGCTCAAGGTTTAGGGTTTAGGATTAAGGGTTTAGGTTTTAGGGTTTAGGGTTTAGGGTTTAGGGCCCTAGAGGTTTAGCCGCTTTCCCCAAAATACAAACATGTGCTTCACACGCCTGAGGGTTTAAAGTTTAGGGTTTGGGGTTTAGGGTTTAGGGTGGGTCTCTAGGGGCAATTGTTTATTGTTTGGATGCATGCATGCATGCATCCATGCAATGCATGAGGCTCCGGTGTACATGCAGCTTCTTTGTTGCTGTTATTACCTTTACTTTCCCTCCTTTGTTTAGTTGTCTGGTGGGGCTGGCATTCGTTTTGCATGCACAGCAGCTGCATGCGTTCTGTTCTTCTTTGCATGCAGCAGCAGCAGCAAGGAGACACAAACGCCGGAACCGCTGTCTCCTCCGAGGGGCCCTCGGGGGCCCCCGGGGCTCCCGCAAAAGCTGCTGAGGAGGATAATTTAGAGAGGTTTGGGGTGAGGCCCTTGCTGCATGCATGCCTCTGTCTTTTGTTTATATATTTTTGTTTTTGTTTTTGTTTTTGTTTGTTTTGGTCTTGCTCTCTGTTTCTACATAAAGAGGCTGAGATAGCAGTTCCTTTGACTTGCGGTGGGGCTTTGCTGTCTCCTTTTTAATCTTTTTGTCTCTTCTTCTTACGACATTGGGAGTTCATTAGCTGTCTCCTCCCAGTCTATTGTCGGCCACTATCAGCGCTTCATGCTGCTGCTTCTGCTGCTGTAACTGGTGGTGCTGTTGCTTCTGTTTTTGCTGTTGCTGCTGCTTCTACTGATGGTGCTGCTGTTGTTGCTGCTGCTGCTGATTGTGTACGGTGTCTGTTGTTGCCGTGGCTTCATGTGCTTGGCATTGCGTGTGGGGCAGCTAAAGTGTCTCCTGTCTCCTGTCTCCTTCTCCTGTCTCCTTTTCCTCAGGAATGGGTAGAGGAACAAAGTAGCGACGAAGAATTCGAAGTGCAAACGGAAGAATAAATCAAACAGAATCAGGGGCCCCCAGGGGCCCCTGACATGCGCTAAAGGGGCCCCCTGGGGCCCCCCTTGGGGGCCCTAGAGGGGAGGGGTATATGATAAAAAGCTCTACCAGTTCTCTGTTGCAGCAGCAGCAACAGCAAGACTAAAGCAACAGCAGAAGCAGCAGCTTCCGCTGCTGCTGCTGCTGCTGTTGCTGTTGATTCTTGTATATAAACACTTCTTTTGGAGACTTCCCTAAAGAGACTGCAGTGAGAGGGGCCCCCTAGAGGTGGGGGCCCCCTTTAAGTAGGTGTGAGGAAGCGCACTTTGCGGTGTCTCCTTTTGAGGAGACAGTTGGCAGAGTATTAGAATGTTGAGGAGATAAACACAACGGGACCCAGGGGCCCTTAGTTCAGGTGTACAGACACCTCAAACATTGCTGCGAGGCAAAGCACTTGGGGTGCTGTAGCCGTGCCATGCCATGGCTACTGCTGCTGTTGCTGCTGCTGTTGCTGCTGCCGCTACTGCTGCCGCTATTACCTATGCTGCTGCGGCTTCTGGAGAGGTCTGTTTGTCTCGTGCAGTGTTGAGGGAAGTAGGAGACAGCTGCGAAGCAGAAGGAGACCCTCTCTTATTTTAGTGTCTCCTTCTGTCCCTTTCTTTGTCTCTCTTCATGCCTCTCCGTCACCTACAGCTTCTGCATTCCTTGCTAAAGCAATTGCTATCCCCTTTCTAAATAAATAAATAAAATAAATAAGTATGAACACATATTTATATGTATGTATGTACATGTATGTACATATATACATAGATATAGATAGATAGGCCCCACACCCAGAATAGCAACAAGGGCCCCCAAGCCTAAGAGGCCCTTCAGGGTACAGCCATGCGAATGAGTCCCTCTTCTACGAGGCCCTCGAGGCCCCTGTCAAGATTAAACACCCTAGGGGGGCCCATCCCCCTTGTGGGGGCCCTCCCTGGGGGGCCCCCTATGGGGGGGCCCCCCTGTTGGGGGGCCCCCCGGACTCCCTGTTCTTGCTGGGGCCCCTGTGCAGCATTAAATAGCGCATGCACCGCTTCTGTTGCTATGGCTGAGTCTTTTCCTCTTCTGCATATGAAGACAAATGCAAGAGGAGACGACATATGAATTGCTGAGGGTTGAGGGAGATGAAGAAGGGCCTTTAAAAAGAGAGACACCTCCTGAATAAATATATAAACAACATATACACATAAACGCAGTCATAACAACAACCCCACAGACAATACACACCACAACAGCACGCAACGCTGCAGCTGCTGCTGCTCCCTGCTGTTGCTGCTCCCTCTCCTGCTGCTGCTGCTGGTACAAAATGAGTAGCAGGTCCTTCCGTGGCCTACCTCGCACCCGCGCCCTTCGTAAGGCTGCGTAGCCGCCCCTTCTGCTGCTGCTGCAGCAGCAGCAGCAGCAACTTGCTGCTGTCTGCTCTCTATGTAGCTAAGAAGGTCCTGCAGCGGCCAGTGCAGAGAATAAGGGAGGCGAGCCACAGCGAACTGGGTGTGGGGCCGCACGTCAATGAGCACTAGCATCTCCCCAGCAGCAGCAGCAGCAGCATCACTTGCTGCTGCTGCACGCCGCAGCCAGGCAGCAGCAGCTGAGAAGGCCGGCAGCTGCCACAGGGCCCCCCACGTAGCCAATCGAGCAGCAAAAGCAGCAGCAGACAGACGTCGCGAAGGAGAGACAGAAGGGTACCAACATACACCCGAGTACTCCGGACGCGGCTGCAACGCAGCAGCAGCAGCAGCAGCAAGAAGTGCAACAGCAGCAGCAGCAAGATGAAATGCAGCAGGAGCACGAAGAAGTGTAGCAGCGGCAGCAGAAAGAAGTGCAGCAGAAGCAACAGCAGCAAAAGACTCTGTCTATGCAAGCGTATGGGGAGAGACCCCAACAGCAGCAGGAGGCCCTCCTTTCTCTGCACAGCAAGCACCTTTAGCTGCTGCTGCGGGGGCCCCTTCTGAGGGCCCCCGCAGAAGCAGCTGTGGGGCCCCCACGAATTGGGGGCCCCTAGGGGCCCCCACGAAGAGCCACTGAGGGACCGACCTCCAGTTGCTTGATTTGCGGTGTACTTCCACAAGCTGCAGAGACACCCCAAACATAGACACACAGACGCACGCACCTACGCGCTTCTTCGCCTTCTAAACCCTAAACCCTAAACCCTAAACCCTGAACCTGCCGTACAACGCCCAACTCCTGGATACCGCATTCCCAGTCCTAACCCCCAAACCCTAAACCCTAAACCCTAGTTTCTGACCTATGCAGGCCTTTTGTTTGCCCCGGAGAGCGAAGGAGCGCCAGGGCCTCTGACTGTCATCTCCGTCATAGACAAATAAGCGGGGCCCTTGGGGGCCCCCAGGGCTCGGGGGGGCCCCCTTATTAAGAGGGGGGCCCCCAGCTATCTGCAGCACCGCGATAGCCTGAAAGCACCAGCAGCTGCACACACTCAAGGCCCTAAAAGCCACGCAACAACAGCAGCAGTTACAGCAGCAGCAGCAGCTAGAGTCACTGCAGCAGCCACAGCACCAGCAGCAGCTGCTGCACAGGAGAAGCAACAGCAGCAGCAACAACAGCAGCCGCAACAACAACGGCAGCAGCAGCAGCAGCAGCAGCAGCAGCTTCTGCTGCTTCACCTGCATAAGGCCAATAAGGCCCGGCACGGGCCCCAGTACCCCATGTGTATCGCATGCGCCGCTGTCTTTTAAATTGGGGGCCCCCTGGGGGCCCCCTATCCCTTCTTCAGCAGGAAAGATGCATCTGTAGCAGGGGCCCCCCGCGAAGTTATAAACAGCAACCTGGCCTTCTCGCTTCAGGGCACTGCCACACACTAGGGGCCTCCCTCCTAAGACGCATGCGTCGTTCAATACGTACCTGCAGCAGCAGCAGCAGCAGCAGATACAGCAGCAGCAGCAGCACACGAGACACTCATTGCCTATCTACCCTTGCCTAACAACGCGAACGCAACTGTGAAGAGAAACGCATGCATAATGAGCGGCTGCTGCTGCAGCACCAGCAACCAGAGCAGCAGCAGCAGCAGCAGCAGCAGCAGCAGCGTTTGCTGCTAACCTTGCTTCTCTGCTGTCTGTAGCATCCACAACGATGTCGTGGCTGGGCACGAGCTCCCCTGCCAGCTTCCAGTCTACGAAAGCCTCAACAGCCTCCACTGAGGCCTGCAGCAGCAACAGCAGCAGCAGCAACATATGCAGCAGCAACATATGCAGCAGCAGCAGCTGCTGTACGAGCAGCAGCTGAACCAGCAACAGCAATATCAGGACCAGATTCAGCAGCCGCACGACTCTACTGCCATCTCCTGCAGCATCAGAAGCAGCAGAAGCAGCAGCAGCAGCAGCACGAGCAGCAACAGCAGCAGCAGGGGCAGCAGCAGCTGCTGCTGCTGTTTCCTCTAGAACTCACCTCCGAGTCCAGTAGCCGGCAGACTCGCGCAAGGGCCCCACTTTTGCTGCGCCCCACATCTGCCTCCCTGAAGAACACCTGCCTGCAGCAGCAGCAGCAGCAGCAGCAACAGCAGCAGCAACATGAGAAGCACAGCAGCAGAGACAGAAGCAAGATCTGCGGCAGCAGCACAATCAGCTGCCGCCCTCAATAGAAGCAACAGCACCAGCACCAACAACAGCAACAACAAATGCAGCAGCAGCAAGTGCAGCAGCAGCAGCAACGGGGCTGCCTTAGAGGCCAGCAGCAAACCCCCACCTGTGGAGGTTTGTTGCGTCTACGGTGTCTCCATCGACAATGGTCAGGTGCCCTGCAGCAGCAGCAGCAGCAGCAGAAGCAGCAGAAGCAGCAGCAAATGTAACAGCAGCAAGCGCAGCAACAGCAGCAGCAAACCCAGCAGAAGTAGCAGCATATGCAGCAGCACCACCACCACCAATTTGTTTGTGGTTTTGCTGCGTAATCTGCTGCGTCGGTAGCAGCGCAGGAGTAGCAGCAACAGCAGCAGCAGCAACAAGAACAACGACAGCACCAGCAGCACGAGCAACAGCTGCAGCAGCAACAACAACAATAGCAGCAACAACAGCAGCAGCAACCATCATCAGCAGCAACCACATCATCAGCAGCAGCAGCAACCACATCATCATCATCAGCAGCAACAACATCATCATCAGCAGCAGCAGCAACAGCAGCAGCAGCAGCAGCAGCAAGCTCGTACCTATTCCTGCGCCTGTGAGGTAAACAGCAATGGGGCCCCCGAGGCCCCCTGCCCCTACAAGGAGGACCCTGCAGCATGCAGTTTGTCTCTGAGACTCTACACCCCACGAAGGCAGCAGCAACTGTCTCCCTTGCCTCTCAATCTGTCTAGGAGACAGCAAACACCTGAACCACAGGCTTCCTGCTGCTGCTGCTGCTGCTGTTGCTGCTGCTGCTCCTGTTGCTGGGGCTGCTGCTGCTGTTGCTGCTGCTGAGAAACGAAAGAGACTCGGTGACTGCTGCAGCAGAGCTGCTGCGTCTATGAAAAGGGGCTGAAAATCCTCGCATGCATTGCTGTTCCTTCTGCTGCTGCTGCTGCTGTTGCTGCTGCTGCTGCTGCTTTTGCTGCTTCGGCTGCGACCCTTGCTACTGCTGTTGCTGTTGTCGGCGCTGCTGTTGCTGCTGCGCAGTGGGTTCAGAGCGCTTGCTCGTTGCACGAGCTGCCTCGCGAGAGCAGCAGCAGCGGCAGCAGCAGCAGCAGCAGCAGGAGTTGCTGCAGCAAACCCAAAGAGGGCCCCCAGCAAAACAAGCAGGGCCCTCTCCACACCCCGAGGGCCTCCCCCATTAAAGAGAGGCCCCATGGGCCCGTGTTGGTGCTGCTACTGTTGCTGCTGCTGCTGCTTGTTTGCTGCTGCTGCTGCTGCTGCAGCTGCAGTAGATCCTCGTGGGCCCCCAACACTGAAGGGGGCCCCCCCAGAGGCAGCAGCACGAAGGGCCCCCTAGGGTTTGCTGCAGCTCTTCAGTAAAACTAATATTATTTAATGATATTTTCAATCAGCAAATAAATTCAATTCAAAGAAGATAGCACCTGAAGTAGAACAATGAGAAAGGGGGGCCCCCTTGGGGGCCCCTTCAGAGGGGCCCCCCAGTCCCCTCTGTGCTGGGGGGCCCCCAACTCAAACTGTGGGGCCCCCATCATAAGGGGGCCCTTTGTTTAGTGGAGTTGTTTGTTGTTAGGTACTTAGGCTACGGGCTGAAGACCACCAGCAGCAACAACAACAATAACAGCAGCAGCAGCAGCAGCAACTGTTGTATTGCTTTGAAGGCCTGGGGGCGCCCATCCAGCATCTGTGCTGCTCCTCCTCTTGTGGGGCCCTCGAACAGGGGCCCCTGCTCTTTTTAGGGCCCCTCGTCTCTCCCTACCTTTGCTGCGCCTCCAAGTAACTCAGGGGCCCCCCGCTGCTGCTGCTGCTTCTGCTTCTGCTTCTGCTTCTGCTGCTGCTGCAGCTCCTGCTGCTGCTTGTGAGGCCCGCAGCACACATCAAGGAGGACCCTCAAAGGGGCCCAACCTGAGTCAGCAGGGGCCCCTGATTTCTCCTTAGAGGCCCTTATGCCTGCAGGGGGCCCCTCAGCAGCAGCAAGCCCTGTTGGGGGCCCCTCAGCAGCAGCAAACCCTGTTGGTGGCCCCATGGAGTGCAGCCCCATCCAAGCTAAGGGGCCCCCCCATGAAGATATCACGGGGGCCCCCCAGGGGCCCCCTGTACCCTTGGGCCTCCTGGATGCCTTTAGGGGCCTCTGCAACGACTGCCAGCTAAACCCCAAAGAGCTGCAAGCAATAGCAGACTCTATCACCCAAGGTACTGCTGCTGCTGCTGTTGCTGCTGTTGCTGCTCGTTTTGCTGTTGCTGTTGCTTTTACTGCTGATGCTGCTGCTGCTGCTGGCATTTCTGCTGCTGTTGTGCTGCTACTTCTGCGGCTGCTATTGCTGTTGCTGTTGCTGTTGCTGCTGCTGCTGCTGCTGCTGCTGGTATATATTAATCTACTGCGTATGTGTGGCTGCAACTTAGGGGGCCCCGAGTGCAGTGCCCTTGAGCGTTGTTCTCTATGGAGTTGTTTTGGGGCTGCATGCAAATTGCTGGGGGGCCCCCCTCCTTCGATTAAAGAGGGGGCCCTCTACAGCCTGCTGCAGACAGCAGCAGAAGAGGGGCACTGTCTCCTTGCTGCGCCTCCTGCTGCAGCAGAGGCTGTACTGTCTCCTCAGGGCCTCTCGTGGGGCCCCCCCCAGCAGAAGACACAAAGCACCAACACAAGCAACAGCAGCAGCAGCGACAGCAGCAGCAGCAACAACAGCAGCAGCAGCTGCAACTTCTGCAGCAGCGGTGGAAATACCAGCAGCCTTAGCGGCAGCGACAGCAGCAGCAGCAGCAGCAGCAGCACGACTAGTAGCAGCATCGGCAGCAACAACACCAGCAACGCCAACACCAGCAGCAGCAGCAGCAGCAGCAGCAGCAGCAGCAGCAGCAGCAGCAGCACAGAAGGCGAAGTCTATTCCCCTATGGATCCCCCTGAGAAGGGGCCCCTTCCTTATCTTCGTAATGGGGGCCCCTCTCTACAACACGAAAGAGAAGTGCTAGAGGCCCTCCACAGTGCCGCTGCTGAACTGCACGAGGCCTCCTGGAGACGGTACGCCCACACAACAAATCATATACCAAGGGCCCCCTAGAAGGGGGCCCCCCCTTTATAGGGGCCCCCCTAGAAGGGGGGCCCCCTAGAAAGGGGGCCCCCTAGAAGGGGGGCTCCCATAAAGTGGGCCACCCCCATATAGGGGCCCCCCTGTATAGGGGCCCCCCCTTTATAGGGGCCTCCCCCTTTATAGGGCCCCCCCTTTATAGGGGCCCCCCTTTATGGGGGCCCCCCCATATATGGGGGCCCTAGCAGGGGACCCCCATGGCCCCTCTACGGGGACCTCAGGCTGTCGTAGAGGTTTAAATAAGAGGGCATTAGCGATAGAGCGATGGAGGGGTCTACCGAGGGTTTAGGGTTTGAGGGTTTACGGCTTAGGGTTTAGGGTTTAGGGTTTAGGGTTTAGGGTTTGCTGTGCAGGTTGCACATGGGGCACTGGGAGTCTGTCCCTCTTTGGTGTCGCGAGGCCCATGGTGCTGCCTGTCTCCTCCTCAGTCTCTGCTATGCTGCGAGTGCATCAGCGGCTGTTGCAGCAGCAGCAGCACCTAAAGCAGCAGCAGCAGCAGCAACCGATAAAGCAGCAGCAGCAGCAGCAGCAGCAGCACAGCAGGATTTCCTAGACACAGCAGAAGAGGGTTTTCGCCTTGGATTTCGCTACCTAGACTTGGGTAGGGGGCCCCCCTGGAAGCCTTCTAGCGTTTTAAAAGGTTTATGGTTTAGGGTTTAGGGTTTAGGGTTTAGGGTCAAGGGTTTAGGGTTTAGGGTTTAGGGTTAAGGGTTTAGGGTTTAGGGTCTGCGATGCAGGACTTATAATGGGGGGCCCCAAAATCCGGGTGTACAGACGACTGACAGCAGCAGCCGCTGCGTTCGACGTCTTGAGGGAGCGTTTGCTACTTCTACAGCAGCAGCAGAAGCAGCAACAACCGCAACAGCAGCAGCAGCAGCAACAGCAGCAGCAGCAGCAGCAGCAGCAGCGGGAGATAACACCGCATGAACATCAGCCTTGTGCGTCGGGTGGCAGCAAGGAGGAAGAGCCCAGCCAGCGGGGGGCCCCCAAGGGGCCCCTTGATGTGGAGACAGATAAGTGTCTCCTTTCAGATTTAAACAAAGCCCCAAGTGTCTCCTCAGAGCCCCGCGTGCCCATCAATAGACGGCGGACTCCTGTAGAAGAAACAACGGGTAGCCTAAACCCTAAACCCTCAGGGATCACCTCTAAAGGCACTTGCTTGCTAAGGAAGGTAGCGTTGTGCTCAAGCCTAGAGGCTACGAGTGCTCACAGATTACGGTTTAGGGTTTAGGGTTTAGGGTTTAGGGTTTGGGGTTTGTTTGGTGTATGCAGCCATTGGGTTTGAGGACTTTTTAGTGAATTACCTGCACAAGCAAAAGCCTCTTCTTATCCGAGGTATGTTGGCTGTTGTTATGTTGCTCTCCATTAAGGGTTTAGGGTTTAGGGTTTAGGGTTTAGGGTTTAGGGTTTAGGGTTTATGTGGGGTTTCAGGAGGCGGGGCTGGGCTCCCCTGCGTGAAGCTGTGGAGGGACTGGGGCCGCTTGAGGAGACAGATTGGCCACCGCCTGGTGCCTGTGGAGATAGGTGAGTTAAAAGCAGGTGTCTCCTTTTACTTAGGGTCTAGGGTTTAGGGTTTAGGGTTTAGGGTTTGGGGTTCTCTTTATCCCCTCTCATTCTTCTGTCTCTTCTGTTGCTGCTGTCTCCTTTGTGTCTCCTCTTTTTTTGTCTCCATGTGCGTTTGTCTGTTTTGCTGTCTCCTTTTGTGGTTTTATTTATGTTTATCTTTATGTGTCTCTAACCGCTGTCTCCTTTTAAGCTTCTCCTGCTGTTGCTGCTGTTGCTTTGGCTGCTGCTGCTGCTGCTGCTGCTGCTGCTGCTGCTGCTGCTGCTGCTGCTGCTGCAGGCAGTTCCTACGCTGAGGAGGGCTGGACCCAGCGGCTGATGCTCTTTGAGGAATTTTACACCGAGTTTATCGCCTCCCCTCGTATGCTGCTGCTGCTGCTGTTGCTGCTGCAGCTGCAGCTGCTGCTTTGCTGCAGCCGTTGCTTCTCTTGCTGCAGCTTCCAAGTGCTTTCGGTGCTGCTGTGCTGGCTAGCGTTCCTCCTTAGAAGGAGGAGTTTTCCGTGTGGTTTTACTTCTGCTGCTACTGCTGCTGCTGCTTCTACTGCTGCTGCTGCTGCTGCCGCTTCTTGTGTTGCTGCAGAGGGTTCAGGAGGCCCCGTTGGGTATCTTGCTCAGCATGCGCTGCTGGAGCAGCTGCCCTTTCTAGCTAGAGAAGCCCCTCCACCGGACCTTGCTGTTGCTTGTGGGGATTGCTGCTACTGCTGCTGCTGCTCTGCTGCTGCTGCTCTGCTGCTGTTGCTCTGCTGCTGCTGTTCTTGCTGCTGCTGTTCCAGCTGCGGCCCTTTTCCCGTTCTTTCTGTTGCTGCTGATTCTGTTGCTGCTGTTTCGTTTGCTGTTGCTTCTGCCTCTGCTGTTTTTGCTGTTGTTGTTGCTGCTGCTGCTGTCTCTGTTGGTTGGTTTTGTTGCCGCTGGTGCTGTGTCGCAGCTCTTTAGAGAACTGCTTATTGTGTGTTTTGAATGTGCTGCCGTTGCTGCTGCTGTTTCTGCTACGCTTCCTGCTATTGGTGCCGTTGCTGCTGCTTCTGTTGCTGCTGCTGCTGCTGCTGCAGGTGCTGCAACGGAGATAACGCGTTTAATGTGGATAGGCCCTAAAGGGACTGTCTCCCCGCTGCACACAGACAGCAGCGAGAACATCTTTACTCAGATAGTCGGCAGCAAAAGCATGCAGCTATACCCCACAAATCAGACAGAAGCTTTATACCCATTCCAGCAGGTACTTTGGGGCTGCATGCGCAGCAAAGAGCTGCAGCAGCAGCCCTTGCTGCTGTCCCTCCCTTCGTGGGGTGGCTGCTGCTGTATCTTGCTGCTGCTGCTGCTTCTGCACTCCTGCTGCTCCGCTCCTGTTGGTGACTGCTGCTGTTGCTGCTGCTGCTGCTGAGGCATTCGCCGCGCGTCAAAGAGATGCAGCAGCAACAGCTGCTGCTGCTGAAGCTCCTGCTGGCCGCACAGATGCCCCCTGTGTCCTTGGATCAGGGGCTGTTGCTGCAGTTGCTGCTGCTGCTGCTGTTGCTGCTGTTGCTGCTGCTGCAGGGACTGCTTCGCAACACGTCTAGCTTACCCAATTCTCTGGTGTGTGCAACAAGCCTTCCTCCTGAGGTGTATAGGCAGCAGCGGCAGCAATTTAAACTCTTCTTCGAGGAGACAGATTGCATAGATGTGCTGCTGCAGCCAGGAGACTGTCTCTATATACCTAAGGGATGGTGGCACTACGTGCAGGCGGAGACAAACAGCATCTCCATCTCAAACTGGTTTCATTTCTAGCTGCTGCTGCTGCTGCTGCTGCAGTAGCCTCAGCAGCGATAGTAAGTGCTGCAGCAGCAGCTGCAGCGGAGTCACAGCAAACAGCAGCTATGCAACAGCCCCAATTAGAATAGGTATGCTTTTCTTTTCTGCTGCTGCTGCACTTTCTGCTGCTGCAGCAGCAGCTGCGCTCAGCGCAGATTCACCCTACGCAGCAGCAGCAGTAGCAGCAGCAGCAACTGCTGCTGCCAATGATACGAATCCCCAGCTCTCCTTGACTAAGAGGACGCATGCAGACGCACCCACAGGGCCTTAGGGTTTAGGGTTTAGGGTTTAGGGCTTCGCTTGCCTTCATCCTTCTCTGTACGCCTCTTGGTCTGGTGTTAGGGCTTCGTATGCAGATGCAGGACCCCCCAAACCCTAAACCCTCAAATGCTCCAAACCCTAAACCCTACACACACTTCCAAACCCTAAACCCTCTGAGCACCTTAAACCCTAAACACTACTAGCCGGCTGCAAAGGTGCTCTTACTGGCCTCGAGAAGAGTCGAGGTGTGCTCTCCTCTAGCCTTCAATTCGAGGGTTTAGGGTTTAGGGTTTAGGGTTTGGGGTTTAGTCTGCACATGCGGAGGTTAGCTACTGATTGAAGTGAATAGCAATTGTCTACTGAAAGGTGCCTGGGCCCTACGCTTGCATGCGGGGCTGCTGCCGTCAACACAGTAATCTTTTCTAGGGTTTAGGGTTTAGGGTTTAGGGTTTAGAAGCTCCCTCCCTTAACCATTAGCCCTAGAGGGTGTTGCTGGACCTTCTTTTCGTTTATTATTGTTTTAACCGTTTTATTAAACTTATCTACTTTGAATAACTAAGTAACTTCAACCCCAGCTAGACAATATATATATATATATATATATATATCAGCACCAATTATATACAACCTGCGGTGTATGTACAGCTCAGTACACCGCATCCTCACAGTCAGTCTTCTTGGGATGTACAGGCAGCTCAAACCCCAGAGTCAGTATAAAAATTGAGGTGTGCATACACCTTGAAATGTGTATAACAAACCTGTGTTTGAGTTGTGCATGCATCTTCAGGTTTATATATAAACATTGAGGTGTATACACATCTTATATTGTGCATAAGCGTTGATGCTTTTATACACCTTTAGGTGTACATACACCTCAAGGTGTATGTACACCTAAAGGTGTATAAAAGCGGGTGTACATAAACCTTGGTGTACATACACCTCGAGGTGTACAGACACCTTGAGGTGTAGATACACCTTTAAATGTACATAGACCTTGAGGTGTACATACACCCAGAAGAATATGTTGAGGTGTACATACACCCTGAGGTGTATGTTGAGGTGTATATACACCTTGAGGTGCATATACACCTCGAAGTGTAGCGACCGACTGGTCTTCGCGGTCTTGCAGTGGTATATCGACTGGGCGTAGTTTATTCGGGCGATAACACGCAGAGAAAGCCCTTAAAATTAAATCAATTAGGCTAAAGTTAAGCAGGAAAAGAGGTTTCATACTAAACCCTAGACCCTAAACCCTCAGAACCCTAAACCCTAAACCCTAAGCCCGAAGCCCTACCACCGCGCCGCTCGTCGAGTCGATTGTTGGTGTAGGGCATCGACATTCCTTCATTATTATTATTATTTATTTATGTTTGTTTTTATTATTCTTCTTCTTTATTTAATTTTTAAAGAAGTCTGCGTCTGCTGCTCGCACTTAGCTATCTCGCTGCTTCAGGTTTTGCTTCTCGGTTGCAGCCAGCTACCCCTGCCAAACCCTCAAGTAAGAAGAATAAAACAGCTCTGTCTTCGTAGTTAGTTGCTGATTGTATAGGGCGAAGCAGACCTGGTGCTGCTTCTGCTGCTGTTGTTTCTGCTGCTGTTTCTGCTGCTGTTGCTGCTGCTCTCCGCAGATCTGCATGAGTCAATTAGTAGTACTGCTGCTTCTGCTGCTGTTACTGTTGCTGCTTCTGCTGCTGCTGCTGCTGCAGCTGCTGCTGCTGCTGCTTTTGGCTCATATTTGTGTTGGTTGCTTCTCGCTAGAGGGAGGGGGCTTCCTGCATGGATTCTGCTAGCTGCAGCTTCTTGAAAACCCCAGAGGAGCGAGGGTTTAGGGTTTAGGGTTTAGGGTTTGTGGTTTGCACAGGATGCGCTGCATTCGTTTGCTGTTCGTTTGCCTCGCCGGCTGCTTCGTGGTTGTTAGAGCAGCAGAGGAGGCCCCGAGTGAAGATCCAGGGTCTCCTGGGGATCGTCTCCCTGGGGATCGTTCTACTGGAGGCGATCCCAAGACCCCACAAGAAGAGGTGGCGGCTATACTTAGAGACGCGTACAGTAGAGGAAGAGAAGGAGGTAATGCAGCACTTTGATAAAATGTCTCTTCTTTGTCTATTCTCTTTGGTCTCTGTCTCTATCCCTGTCTCTTCATTTCTTTGTTAGGGTTTATTGCCTCTGCTTTTTATTGATCTGCTGGCTTAGGCTCCAAACTCCTAAACCCTAAACCCTAAACCCTAGCATGTGCTTGTTTACCTCTTCATCTGCAACGTGCACGATGGGCCATACTTACTAAACCCTAAACCCTAGCTAGTCCTTAAACCCTAAACCCTAGCTAGACCTTAAACCCTAAACCGTAAACCGTCGTATATGTCTGTTTATCTCTTAGCTGCAACATGTGCGATGGAATGGGTGTCCTTCCTAAACCCTAAACCCTAAACCCTAAACCCTAAACCCTAAACCCTCGTAATATGTCTCTTCAGGTAGAGTATGCACGATGGAGTACTGGCCTGTAAAAGATAAGACAACGGGGAAGCAATACCCTAACCGGTGCGTAGGTGTCGCAAATGGGGCCAGGGAAGAAGACCTCGAAGACCTTCTCCCATCCTAAACCCTAAACCCTAAACCCTAAACCCTTGCGCGCTCCTCTGCAAGAAGGATCGCCCCTTAGCTCGCCCCTCCTGGGCATGCGTGCAGCACCTGCAGCACGCCAGCGACTTCAGACCCTCCGTACAGTAGGCCACAGCTAGCTACCCAGCTAGCCACAGCTAGCTAGCTAGCCAGCTAGCCAGCTACGCCGTAGCTAGCCCCAGCTAGCTAGGGACGGCTAGCTAGCTACGTGGCGAGGGAAGAAGGTCCTGCAGGATTTTATTTTACAGGCTGTTATAAAGGCTATTAGCTGGCAGTGGGGCTGCATGCACGGGCGGGTAGAGGGAGACAGCAGAGAAGGTGTGCGTCTGTCTAGCCACCTAGCTAGCTAGCTATCTGGCTAGCTAGCTAGCCACCTAGCTAGCCAAATAGCTATTTACGCTCAGTATAATACAAATAGTAATACAAATAGGATTCTATTAGGAATATGCGTCTCTAAATACAAACAAATATAAATATTTGCTGCTAAACAAACGCCCACAGACAAAGGGGAGTACCTCTATCATACAAATATACACTCTGCAGCAACAGCTAGCTAGCTAGCTAGCTAGCTAGCTGGCTAGCTAGCTAGCTAGCCATGCGCATTGCGGCACGGAGACAAACAATTGTAACGATTGCTTTGCGCCTGCTCTGCAGCAACGGCATAGTTGCTGCTGCTGCTGCTGCAGTTGCTGGTGCAGTTGCTGCTGCTGTTGCTCCCGCTGCTGCTCGCCCCCCAGCTGCGCACCTGACGCTAGCTACCCCTAAACCCTAAACCCTAGAGAGGCGGGAGGGACTTGGCTGCCTCTAAGATGTGGTGGGGCATCAAGACCCTCATAGGCAGCTGAGTGTCTCTATTGGGATCGGGATCGTCTCCGTCTGCTGCTGCTGTCTCCGTACCCTCCCTGCCGGGGGCCCCCAGGGGGCCCCCATACTGCTCGAAGTCTCTCGCCTCCAGCTGCTCCGCAGCAGCTACTACCTCTGCATCCGCAAACATCACAGCAGCAGCAGCAGCAGCAGCAGCAGCAGCATGAGCCTTATTGCTTGTGAAGCAGAGTGCGACAGCTCAGGCGTCCGCAACAACAGCAACACCCCTCCAGCAGCAGCAGCAGCAGAAGTAGCAGCAGCGGCAAAGGCACAAGCAGTAGCAGGAGCAGAAGCAGCAGCAGCAGTAGCATCACCTGCAGCAGCCGCCTAACCAACAGCAGCAGCAGCAAAATCAGTAGCAGCAACACAGACGCATAAAGAGCAGCAGCATCAACAACAGCAAACCATCACCATCATCCCCATCCCCAGCACCATCACCAGCAGCAGCACACATCACCAGCAGCAGCAGCAGCAGCAGCACTATCAGCAGCAGCAGCACTATCAGCAGCAGCAGCACTATCAGCAGCAGCAGCACTATCAGCAGCAGCAGCAGCACTATCAGCAGCAGCAGCAGCATCAGCAGCAGCAGCAGCAGCAGCAGACCTGCGATATAGACCTTAACAGCAGCAGCAAGAACAATGAGAACTTCCTCTAACTCAGGCGGTGCTGCAACCATCTCTATGTCTAACCAGCGCCCGAGGCGGCCCCTAGGGGGGGCCCCAGCAAAGGAGAAGCCGCAGCCCTGAGATTCTGCTGCTGCATGCGCTAGTATTGCTTGATGCAGCATAGGGCGGTTACCGCGTAGCTTTGCTGCTGCTGCTGCTGCTGCAGGGTGCTGCTGCAGCACCTGCTGAATCTGCTGCACGCACCACTGCAATGAATCTTCCTTTACCGAAGCAGCAGCACCGCTTAATGCCCCTTTGTCTGCTGCTGCTGCTGCTGCTGCTGCTGTTGCTGCTGGCCCTCCTGAACCTTCGGAGACAGCACTCCCGCTTGATACTCCTGCTGCTGCTGCTGCAGCAGCAGCAGCAGCTTCGTAATACCGTTCTATCTCTATTGGGGTAGAGCAGCCGCGAATTATTGCCCCGTCTTCTGCTGCTGCAGCAGCAGCAGGGGGCGCAGCAGCACCCGAAGATGCTGCAGCAGTCCCTCTCCCAGAAGCAGCAGCACTACTACTACTACCACCACCACCAGCAGCAGCAGCAGGAGCAGCACCAGCAGCAGCTGGAGTCTCTTCAGGCGACTCTGTGCCTTCAGGTGTATCTGAAGGTGCGTAGGGGCCCCCGAACGCATCGTAGGCGGCTGCCGCACACGAGGGGAGCCGCGGGGGCCCCCTTGTACACTTCGCTCAGCATTGCTGTTGTTGCTGCTGCTGCTGCCGCTGCTGCCGCCGCCACTGCTGCTGCTGCTGCTGCTGCTGCTGTTGCTGCTGCTGCTGGGGCGAGACCCACGGGGGCCCATGGGCACGGCCTGAGCTTCAAACGGGGGGCCCCCCAAGGGAGTAGCAGCAGGAAGAGGTGCTGCAGCTGCAGCACAGCGAAAGACAGCGCATGCACACACAGAAGGTAACAGCAAAAAGAGCTGCTGCTGCTGCCGCTGCTGTTGCTGCCGCTGCTGCTCCTCCTTCTAAAGTGCTTCAAGGCGTACCTGCAGATTGCGCCAAAGGCCGCATGTAGACCTGCTGCTGCGGCGTTAGTTGCTGTTGCGGCAGCTGCTGCTGCTGCTGCTGCTGCTGCGGACCTACTATACACTGCTGCTGCTGCGGCTGCACACCCACACGAAGGCCGCCAATATACTGCTGCGGTTGCTGTAGTTGCTGCTGCTTCATCTGCTGCTGCAGGTGCTGCT